TTGCACAATTTTCAGGATCAACTTTAAGAGAAAATTCTCTCGGTGTATGCGCAATGTTTCACCCTGTATTTTTACATCGTGGGTCCCCAGTGAGAAATGATTCGTCGATCGACGTCGAAATGATGTCGAATCGACGTCAATTCGACGGTGTCGATGTCGATTCGACGTCGATCGACGAATCATTTCTCGCTGGGTCGGGTATCATTCTCGCCGCGACTCGCAATTCTTGCAACGTCTCGTCGGGCCAATGTACCGCCGCGCGTGCAATGACGTGGTCTGGAAACGTCGACCGTGGAGCAGGCCAGTTCTCGGGGACCCCCCGGCACAGGGCGGCATCACGCCGAGGAGCCGCGCCGAGCGTCGCGCTTAGCGGTCCGGACGCAGTTCTCTCGGCCTGCCTCCCGCCGTCTTATGCGCTCCTCTTGAAAGGGGAGCGCTGCGGAGTGGCCGCTCCGCGCATCACTGCGCCCCACTATCCTTCCACGCACTCGCACTCGCAAGCCGCGCGCGTACGAACGCGCCGCGGGCCGCGGATCTCTCGCCCGCGGATCACGGAGCGGTCAATCCGCGGTCTCCCCTTTTCTCTTCCCCCGCGGCCGCGGCGGATGGAAACCGCGACTCGTTTACAGACCAGGGTCACCGGATCAAGTCGGAAACCCCAAGGGAAAGAGAAAAAAAGAGAGAGTCCGGATCAAGCTGATTATTTAATAATTCGAAATGAGGAAGATCTCTTGTAACAGCAAGATTCGGTATATCTAAATTCGACCCGTCACTTCTACGTGTTTCTCTTCTTTCGCGTTCTCGAGGACCACTCTTGTCGAGATGCTCCCGAATGGCCGGTCCAAGTCCACGCGGCGCCGCGGGGCTCGATCGCCTGGCGATCGAGCGACAGAGATAAGCCGCGCGCGAGCTATATTGTATACTTGCCTATTTAACACAGACTCGCGGACGGCTGATTCGAATGTGCACGCGCCGCACACGTAGGAGGGAGGGGGAGGACAGTCCGAATGGTTACGCGCATCCAGATAGACACACGTATGACTCTTTCATGTTCCTGACAACCTATTCGCGTGGAGTTCATTGGTACGTTTCCACGGTGCTCCGTGCTGTAGCACCCGGCTCGACCGAATGCGAATGACCCACAAACTCGCGTGCGTTATCCTCCTTTGCCCCCCCACACGGCACGTTTCACGCCGACCACTTGGGCGTTCATGGTCTC